CCCTGGCGAGCCCCCGCTCCAGCGTCTGCCTGCAGGACGGCCGGGCGGCCACGCTGGGGGCGTCGGTGGCCAGCCCGCGCTCCAGCATCTCCAGCCACAGTTCCCGGAGTTCCCGCAGCTCCCGGGGGTCCCTGGGGGCATACGGCGACCTGCCAGTGCCCTCCCCCCGCTCCTCCATGCTGGGGCCCAGCGTACAGGAAGAGGATCCCGGGGAGCCGTGCCACTACAGGGTCCTCGCCCAGTCCCCGCCGCGCCACGACCACCAGCAGCAGCTCGCCGAGGGGATCTCCTACAACTTCAGCGCCGCCAAAGGCTCCGCCACGCTGCACCGCTTCAAGGTGCCGTACCAGGTGACGCCGTCCAAGGAGAGCGGGCCGAGCCAGGCCGAGAGGAGGCTGGAGGCGCTCACCCTGGAGCTGGAGAAGGAGCTGGAGATGCACATGAAGAAGGAGTATTTCGGTGAGTGACGCTTTTCTTACCCCGGGGGAGGGGGAGCCCCGGCACGTCCGGCCAATTTGGGGGCGAACGCTCCCGGACGTGCCGAGATGCCGGCTTGCATTGTTTGTTTTTTCTCCCCAATTCTAAAATCTTCCAGATTCCCCGAACCGCCACGTGGTTCCCCGATTGTGGTGCCCGGTGAGATGCCCCGCGGTGACGCGCTCCCTCCAGATTGCGGCGACTCGCGTTCAGCCAAATCCAAAAACTTACCGTCCGGTGAATAACCCAACGTGTGGCGTCTGTCCGTTGTGCAGATTCACCGGATCGGAACATGTTCAGTCGAATTGAACACGCCGGGTCGGTACCCCCCCATCTTTATTGTACTTTGGAGGAACTACAAGCCTCAGCGGGACCCCACACCCCAGTCGGCATTCATCTTAAGTTCAGGCCACGGTTTCGTGGATGTTTTTGCGTTAACCGAAATCTGTCCGGTGTGCAGATTCACCGGATCGGAACATGTTCAGTCGAATTGAACACTCCGGGTCGGTACCCCCCCATCTTTATTGTACTTTGGAGGAACTACAAGCCTCAGCGGGACCCCACACCCCAGTCGGCATTCATCTTAAGTTCAGGCCACGGTTTCGTGGATGTTTTTGCGTTAACCGAATCT